TAATATAATAATAATAATAATAATAATAATATCCAATAATTCAGAATCAAACATGGCATTACAGGTTATTTTCCAGCAAAAGGCCTGGCTGCTTGCCGGGAAGACACGAGAAACGTAAGGCGAACGACTAAGGTTTGCTTTGAGCGATTTAGGGATTCAAGAGAGAATTTTTTGACAATGTTTTAATGAAGCAAAATATAGGATACTCCACAGATAAATATATGGGGGGTGGGGGGTGGGGGGTGTGGGGGAGGTGGGGTGCGCTTCCACATTTCAAGTTCCGTTCTACGGGCTTTTTTGACATGATGCAACAATAAAAATGATAGCAAGGTCAATTACAAGATAGGGCTAGGTTTGGTTCGGTTACCGAGCCGAAATCTTCAATACCGAACTGAACCAACTATATTGGTAATGTCATATGCTAAAACCGACACCGAGTTGATTTTGGTCGTTAATGCCATATATCGGTTCGGTAATGCCTTCAGCATTGAAAAAACTGATATAGTCAACTAATTCAGCATCATGGGATCAAAATATCTTCTTTCCAAAATATCTTCTTTTAATGTGAAAAGGCAAAAGAACTAAAAAGAAGCAAGTTCTGCTAAATATTGTCCCAAACATTCATGAATTGTGGACAAAACCAACTTTTTATGAAGCTATATTATACATGCCTCAGCCAGTGAAACATCATCCCTTAGCTATCATTCTCTCTTATTATTATATGATCATCTCCAGAGCGGATAATATATCTATCTACACAAGCACAACCCTTACGAAAAAGCAAAACCACAAGAAATTTCAAGACCAATAGGGCGGGCACTAACTCATCCTGTCTCTTTAAAAATCCCTTTGCCTTCAAATAGCAACAGAAAAACCTTCAATAGGAAGTGCCCTCCTTGAAATTGACACCCCACAGCCTCTTCCACTTATATCCACTGTTGATTTCCAAAGCAGGCACCCGAGATCGACCCGGTTCCTACAAACGGGGCAAGTCGGATTCTTCCCAATCCACCTATCCACACATTTAGCGTGAAACAAATGCTTGCAGATCGGGATATTCCTGCACAAATCCCCATCTCGAAACGAATCCAGGCAGATCGAACAATCCGACGTTGCAGGAAAAGACGCGGCGCTGTACGGCACGCCGGGGATTAGGGTTTGGGTAAGGGGGGAGGCCTCTGATGCGACGGGACGGCAGCGGAGGTGAAAGGCGGAGGAGATGAAAAGGAAATGGAGAAGGACGATGGCCGCGAAGCCGAGGAAGAAGAGGAAGAGGGACATTACGGCCACCATTATCACGCATTTCAGAAAGAAGAGGAGGAGCTTTTTCTGGCTCCGGCTGAGGCACTGCGGCGGCGTGAGACGGCGGCTGCGGTGGTTTTCCTGGACGAAAGTTGGCATGTGGGTTGAAGTTTGAGCTGGAATTTCTGTTTTCGGTCTTTGTTTGTTGGTTGAATTTGAGAGAGAATTTTTTAGGATGCAAAAGAGGTTTGCGGAGAGATGAAGGTGAAGGCGCCGTAGGTTTCATCGGGCTCTCATTTTAGGCACGCAGTTTTTTAGTTAATTAATTAGATATTTTTTATTATTATTAATTTTAGGCCAATTTGAGTGACATATTCTTTTTTTTTTTTCAAATCACATCTTAAAAGTATAATAAAACTCAAAAAACTGTACCAAAAAAAAAAAATAAAATAATAATAAAACTCAAAAAAGAGGTCAGTTTTAAAGAAAAGCCGACAAACAAAATGCAAGGACTTCTTCACTTGGAAAAGCCTAAGCGCAAATATACTTAGGTGCGCCCTGGCACATTTTGCTAGCATTTTTAAAATGAAGATGTTGCATTATAAAATGAGCATGTATAAATATGTTTATACATGTTCATTTTATAATGTAACATATTCATTTTAAATTGTCTAGGCACACCTTGCTAGGTGTGTCAGGGCGCATGGTGGTAGCACTGTAGACCTACGTCCCCTCAACAGCCACTTTGACTAAAACTTTACTACCATAACAAGCTAATTCATCACAAATAAAACACAAGTATAATATCCTCTGCAAAAATTGAATGATCAATTTAGAATAGCGCAAATAATTAGGTGTGTCCTGACACACCAAGGCCTTTTGTAATACATGTTATCATCCGACTCGGTAAAACACCATTAAGAGGTTCCAAACATCATATTAAGAGAGAGATGACCATTGGACCGACGTGATTTTAACACCACCCCGGTCCAGGCAATGAACCGGACCGAACTACCGAAGACCGAAGTGGTCAACACCTACCGAGGTCTACTTAAACCGAGATCATCACCTCCTTAAACAGGTGACAAGGTGCCTACGCACAACCATCACACTCCACGAGATCCGTCATCATTCATGTGGGACCCACTACTCCAAACCGCCCACAAAAAGCTACTTTATTCAAAAAGTAGTATACAGATCCCAATGTATCCACCAAAAATTACTATAAATAGTGAACCCATGACATTTGTACGGGGATCTCTTTCCGAACTGAAAAAACATCATTATGCAACACGCAAAAGCCCATCACGGCTCTTCACCTCGGTTCACCTCGGACCGGGGCCATTGTTGAGTTATTTCTACATGCTTTACGTCCAAATCATTCATAATTCTCATCCTAATTACGTGTTACATCGTTGTTAGAAATCACATAACAACAGTTTGGCGCTAGAGGAAGGGCCTCATAAGTGATTTGAGGTCAATCTCCGCTTTTCCAAGTGACGATTCACACCGGCCATATCCACCATGTCTCACTCAGATCCTCGTGGTCACACGTCACGAGACGGCCACAGTCGTAGCGCCGCGCAATCTGCCAGACGACAAGCCATGGCTCCACCTGTCCCGGATTATGCTGCGCTGTTTCAAAATCCGGAGTTCGCGCGTGGTTTTGCCACTTTAATGGCCCAAACAATGCCGGGAACATCAACGACTGCTCCGGGACACTCCATCATCCCCACGACTCCCGCAAACTGACAGAATCCAACGGCGCGACAAGACGGCAGAAGGACAACATCCCACGCTACATCTCAACCTCGTGATCGAATGTCGCAACCGCCTCCGGAACAAAATACACGTCGCACCGACGCCGGGCGTAATCCTCCTATACTCCCTCAAGAAGAAACTGTCGAAAGCCAGTCGAGTCATTCACGACGGTCACCGCCTCATGCACAGCGCCGAAATCCCTCCAATCCGGCGCAGACCGACCTTCGACAGCATATTGAACGGAATCGGGCTCGTCAAGAGTCATCCGAACTCGAAACACTGCGACGACGAATAGCCGAATTGGAAAGTCGGCAACGGGCACCTCAAGATCCACCTCAGCGGGCCTCCACCTCGGCACAAGTGTATTTGGAAGCCGATTCTCCCCTTACTCCGGAGCTTACTTCGGAACCAGTACCTGGAAAAGTCAAGGTCCCCCAGATCGGGCTATATGATGGAACATCTGACCCTGACTCACACCTCGGTCATTATACTTCTTGGATGGATCTGCATGGGGCCTCAGACGCACTTCGGTGTCGTATGTTTTCACTTACACTGGGTCCTCGGGCCCAAAAATGGTACCATTCTCTTCCTCCTCATTCAATTTGGAAGTGGCAACAACTGAGGTCGGCTTTCCGATCTCATTTTATCGGGGCTCAAGTATGCCTTATTCCAAAAGAGTCTCTTGCGAATATCACTCAAAAAGATGATGAAAGTGTCAAGGTATATTGCCCGTTTCAATGACCGAGTTCAGAATATGGAACCTTGTCATCCTGAAACCTTGCTAGTCATGGCTATTGCTGGATTGAAATCGAATTTGATTTTCCGCTGGACGCTATGCCAAAATAAACCGAACACTTTTCAAGAATTCCTCGCTCGAGCCCAGCAGCACATTATAGCGGAAGAAGCCATGTCGGTTCCCAATTTTAACTTTAACCCAAAGTCTTCTAAAGCGGGAACCGACGAAAAAAGGAAGAATAAAGTTTTCGACAAGCAAAATAAGACTCAATTCAGGGGGCCTCCTCGAGGAGAC